CAGTTTAACAGCCATGCATGGACTGTAGACAGGCAGAAATGAGCTTAATGGAAAACAAGCCTTTATTGAGACTGATTGCAAAAGTACAAAGTAATCAAAAAGGAAAATAACACAGGAGGAAGGGTATGTCAGGAGACAGGAAGTAACTAAATGTAAGAGAAGAAGAGTGACTGGCACAATAAGATGGAAAGTACAGAATACAAAGATGCAGATTTCACACACAGACAGGGAGACAAGACTGACTACATACAGGGGACTCTAGGGAGGATGCACAGATGAGACTAAGACAGACTGGACACGAAAGGAAACGAATTTAAACAGAGAACGTGTAACTACAAACATGATTAACTAAACTTGGAAAATTCACAGCACGACAGAACTCTGCACAAGTGAGCCGGAATCATGACAGCAATTTTCAACTTCATTTCATATCTTAAACAACTCAAAGAATTTGGATATTCCAATAACAATCCAATAGAAATCATTATGTCAAAGTGATCTTCCTGCTCATTTTGTTTCCAGGTATTCCTCAGCTGGTCCTCCTCACTAAAGTAGATGAAGCCTGTCCACTGGTGAAAGAGGATGTGAGAAACATTTATAAGAGTGGCTACATTAAAGATGTGGTAAGCATTTTTTACTTTTTTTAAACTGCTTTTTTTAAATTTATTTTTTATTAATAAACATTTTATATGAGGGTAGTAATACTTTTCCCCCCGTGTTCTGTCATACAGATGCAGGAGGTCGGCTCTCGGCTCGGTGTGCCGTTGTCCTGTGTTGTTCCGTTGAAGAACTACAGCGAGGAGCTGGAGTTGGACATGAATTGTGACATCCTGTTGCTCAGCGCCGTCATCCAGATGCTTCGCTTTGTTGATAATTACTTTGATGAGCTCAGTGACCGAATGAGCAACATGCAAACCAAAGACTAGGAGAAGACTGAGGAGATGATGTAATAGTCTGAGCAGCTGATGACATTTCCTTTAAAATGATTCAATCATGTACCTGCAGGTGATCCTACTGAGTACTAGTTCCCTGTGTTAACTGGGTTACTTGAAAGGCAGAAATTAGAAGCTAAACTACAAATTAGAAGCCTTCTTATATTGTGGGTATTGGGAGATATAGTATCTGTACTTTGTGAACATCCAGTTTCTCCCTTCAAAATTTTGGTGAACTGGTTCTTAATTTGAGCTCAGCAACAGAAAATAATGACATTAAAGGTCATCAGTCTCAAGATAATAAATTATTTTGAACATTTTTATTACCTCCTTTTTTCCATGTAGCTGAATATTTCATCACAAGTTAATAGATTTAATAAACTAAATTACTGTTTACTGTGTCAGAACCAGACACGGGGAAACTGCATTCAGCTTTTATGCTTCATATATCCGGAACAAACTCCCAGAAAGCCTCAGATCAGCTGAAACACTCAGTTTATTTAAATCCAGGTTGAAGACTCACCTGTTCTCAGCTGCATTTGAATAAAACACCAAATCCACACTTTAAACTTACATTTCAAAACTTACATTTTAACTACTGATTTTATCTACTGTTCTGATTTTATCTACTGTTTTTTTTTTATCAATTTTAAATCATGCTTTTTATTGTTTTTATTTTTTAATGTCTTTGTAAAGCACTCTGAATCACCTTGTTGTTGAATTGTGCTATATAAATAAACTTGCCTTGCCTTAACAACCCCGACTCCTACATGATGTTTTGGTTTAACATGAAATATTTCAGCACCCTGTGTAATTTTTTGCCTGCAAGGTGCACACATGCACACAAGAGAAACACTCAGTATAGCAGTACTATTTTTGGGGCAAGTTGCATCTGGCTTTTGGAATTGAATTTCTGCATACAAAATAAACAAAATGTAACTTTATTGTACTCAAAATGGTGCAAACACAACAACACACAACAACACTCAAACACAAACATTTGTGGCATCAATAAAAGGTATGTATTTATAGCTTTTTCTCTTTGTAACGTGACCTTGGGTTTTAGAAAGGCGCCCTCAAATAAAATGTATTATTATTATTTCCAGAGTTTAACAATCAACACCTGTGTTAAAATCTGAAATGCCCGTGGAGTTGATTTAAAATCTGCTCTGGCACATTTTTAGGAGTTGCTACTTAAAACAAGGAAAAAACAAACAGGAAAATAGGAAGATGAAAACCTTCAGTAACATGAGCAGAGATCATCAAGAGCCCGAAGGAAGACCACAAGAAGGGAGCAGAGTGTAGGCTCTTAGGGCAAAGCTGACAGTATCAGACAGTTCAGTTAGTCGATAGCAACACACACAGAAAGCACACATAGGATTGGTCACAGTCCAAAGGATGGTTTTCTTATCAGCACCTACACTGTAGCTTATCAGTAAATGATTTACTCAGATGGGCCACGATGATGGGTAATGATTTCCAGGTTTATGGTTAAAACTATGACGTATGCGTTCAGGCTAAATGAAACTAGGGGGCGTCTCCCATTTTGACCTCAGGACTTCCAGGCCATACTCAGAACAGATGTTACTGTATACTGTGCTAAGCTTGTTTCTGTGCTGCCATGATTAGTGCCTCTGTGCAGTCCAGCTTTGTCCAGCCACTGGTAGGATTTCTGGATGTCAGCCACCTCCTCTATCTGCCGGTGGTACATACCGTGCAGGGGCCTCTCCTTCCATGATGGTTCCTCCTCTTGGTCCTCTTCTTTCTTGGGTTTCTGCTGCCTGAGGTATTCAGTAAGCAGGGGGTTGGTTGTGGCCATCTTCCTTATGTACTCACAGATTTTCTTTGTTTTATCCTCTGATGATGGTTCTGACACTCACTAGTCCCCGGTTTCCTTCCGTCCTTCCACTTAGCGTACAGTCTTAGGGTGCTGGACTTGGGGTGAAACCCTCCAGCTCCAGGAGCATCCTGGTCTTGATGTCAGTGGCTTCTATCTCCTACTTTGGCCAACTTATTAATCCAGCAGGGTACCTGATCACAAGCAGGGTATAGGTGTTTGATATCCTGGATTGCGTTCTTTCCATTCAGCTGACTCCTGAGGACTTGCCTGATCCTCTGCAGGTATTGGGTGATTGCGACTTTCCTAGCGGCCTCTTTATGGTTCCCATTTCTGACCACCTTCTCTTTGTTACCATCCGACTACGTTTCTCTCCAGTCATTCCAATGTTGTTGCTTATATCCTCATATCCTCGTGATGTGGATCAGTAAGTCGATGTCTCATTCACTCTTGGCATATGGCTTGATAACCCCTGCAGACACACACACACACACACACACACACACACACACACACACACACACACACACACACGTTCTCCTTGTCCTCCTCTGTCTTCAGCCAACAGTAACTCAGCTTCCACCAGCGCCCTGTTGGCCAAAGCACCGCAGTGAGTTGTTGTTAACCTGCTATGGAAATCTCATTTTTAAATATTCTCATGAAAGTTGTCGATTTTGCCCATCGGTGCCCTGCTTAGCTCAACATCTCGAGCAATGGAATTCATTTTCTAAATTGTTTTTCTTCTCTTAAAAAAATGTACAAGATTATCTAAACAAACTGACACTTTAATTTCATTATTATTAATTAATTATTATTTTACAACTATAAGATCCTATAGTAAGTTTTGTACTGTTCTCATCTGAGACGGTATGTTCCATTCCTTTTTCAGAGGGCTGGAGAAATTGTGCACTGGAAAAGGTTAATGGACTTTCATTTTTAGCATTAATTAGTTTAAAACATTGATTGGTAAACGCTGCTGTTGTAGCTATATATTTAGCATGCATAAATTGTGTCCTGTTTGTGAAACTTGCAGCAGTTTTAGTATCTCTAACGTCATACCAATATAATGATTATCATTGCAATAACAGTGTTTGCACACAGGGTGGAGCTGAGCGACCAAGACAGATGAACCAATAGCTACTTCGCTTGTTGCCACAGATGCAGGCTGGATCTCTCGTCAGGATTCCTCTGATTCCTCAGCTCCTGCAGAACCACAAAATATGAACTGCATAGAGATATTTGATTTCCATCTTGTGTTCAAAGGATTTATTGAATATCACCATCAAAAGGGGCGTGTCCTTCCTGGGCTGGGAAGACAGGGTCAAGTTTATTTATGTAGCACATTTGCTAAACAATGTAAAATGCAACTAAAATAAGTGAAATGCACAACAATGATGCAATAAAATATAAAAGAGAAAGAATAATGCAATAAGTCAATTAAAAACAACAACAACAACAACTAAGGCTGGTGAAACCAAAATGTTTTGCTGCTCAAAGTCAGACCATACAGAAGTGTTTCTGTTTTAAAAGTTCAGTGTGCAGAAAAAATGTTCTTAATTTTGCTGTTGTTTGAAGCAGGTAATGTATCTTAAGAATTTACTTGTGTATGTTCACGAGAATGCATGAGGCGTAGTATCAAGAGAGCTGTGGTATAAGACTGGATTTGACTGTGTCTGTTATTATATGCGTTTCTCAATTGTAACAACATCCTTGAGGATTTTGTGCCTACAAAATGATCTTTTTTTGGTTTTTAAAAATAAGACTCAAGTCAATATTTGCGTTTCAATGCAATTTAAACAGGAAATGTAATCAGTCTTGTACAACAGCATGCTCTCTTTTATTTCTCAAAAACTTTAATTAATAAAGCTAAAACTCTTAATAAATTTATTTTTTTTATTATAAGAATGATCTTTATCAGTCAAATTGTTATTCATTAAAACTTACTAAACTCACCGTTTTGTTAATTAGGTAAAATTACAGTAGATTAAAACAATCACACATATGTGTTTCAAACCTGCCATCATTGAGATGCACAGGTTGTCTTTATAGAGAGCTGAGGTTACACGTGGCATCATCTTGTGTTCTCTCTTCCATCTCCATTATTATCTGAATAATATTAAGGGAAAGGCTGACTTGTAAGTGAGGGAGGAGATAGGTAGGCCTATTGCGAACAGGCTTAACAGGTTAAACCTGTCATTACGTCGGAGTACTGCTGACGTATTGGTGGTAACATTTTGTTGTTGTTTTTCCTGAAATTAATACTCATAGTTTTCTAGATCAGACTAGGACCGAATGTAGGAAAATAAATCATTAACCCCACAGAGAAGTTGAAGTTGTAGTTTCTGCCATTGTTACTTTTAGATATTTTAAACTGAAAGGAGAGGCGCCACAAAGCACAGGCTTTAGCAACACTGCACGTAAGGGGTTCAGGACATCCAGTTTCACTTGCACAGCGCGCAGACGGCTGTCACACGTGTAATCTGCGCAACCACGATCCCCGCTCAGTTTCTAACCACAGCAGGTAAGACTGAAAATATTAAAGAGCTGCATGATTTTCAGAACTTTGTAAAAAAAAAATAATGTATGCGCTGGTTTTTGTTGTTGTGTGGAAGCATTGTGTTAAACTGACTTTAACACAATGCCCAGTAGGTTATTACTCCGACTTTTCATTTGAGCTTGTGGATACACTTTTTAAAAATATAACAAAAATGCTCTGTATTTATATAGCGCTTTACTAGTGCCTAAGGACCCCAAAGCGCTTTACATATCCAGTCATCCACCCATCCATTCACACACACTGGTGATGGCAAGCTACATTGTAGCCACAGCCACCCTGGGGCGCACTGACAGAGGCGAGGCTGCCGGACACTGGCGCCACCGGGCCCTCTGACCACCACCAGTAGGCAACGAGTGAAGTGTCTTGCCCAAGGACACAACGACCGAGACTGTCCAAGCCGGGGCTCGAACCGGCAACCTTCACGATTACAATGCGAACGCCCAACTCTTGAGCCACGATCGCCGCAGCCCCAAAAGTACAAAGCGATACCTTAAGAAAGTGCAACGAGTACATCTGTGTTAAACTCATGATATTAGTGGAACGTTTGGCACAGTTTATAAGCTGGGTGTGTCTAATCCTTTTGACAGTTTTTTTTTTTGGCTGTTCCCCAATTCATTGGCTGCATTCTTCGAAAGCGGCACAGCAAACCATCCAGGCCAAAATTCGCCACTTTTCCAACCGTTTTTAATAACGGTGTTTTCGGCTGCGGCGCCCAGTGACAGCTGTGTCGGAATTTTCTTAAAATAATGCAGGGCCCTCCCCATGGTTCTCTCAACTGCTTAATTTAAACTCCAAATACCCAATCAAAGAGGAAGAAATTCATCCCAAACCCACTTTGTTGCAAAGCGACTGTCCAAGTTTGCCTACTTCATCTATTGACACTGGCACCACTGACTAACAATGAGCCGTGAGGTCATTCCCCAACTCTCTGTGAATGTTACTCATGGCCATTTATCAGTGATCATGACAATTTGTTTATTGTTTATTATTTATGATATTTAACTGAACTCACAGCCCATTGTTCACTCAGTAACATCAGCCTGTTTAATCTTCTGATTGTTTTCCATTTTTGGAAAAATTATTTTTCTCACCCAATAATTGATTCACTTTAGCCTTAATTTGAAGTGAAACATACAAAATGATCACATCTTTCTGGTTTATTTTTAGCTATCACTACATGATGTTGCCCAGACAGGTTAAATATATTAATATTTGTCTCTGAGACAATCATAGAGGTATAAAGTCTTATAGAAAAAAATAATGTACTGAAATGGAATATTTGAGACAACTGAGTTGAATTCAAATTCAAATCAAATTCAAATTTTATTTGTCACATACACAGTCATACACAGTACGATATGCAGTGAAATGCTTAGACAACTGCTCGTGACCTAAAGAATAAAAGACTATGAATAGGATAGGAATTCCACCACTGGTCATTTTTTAAAAAGTATATTTCTCAGATGCATCACACCTATGAAACATCTCAATTTGCTCCGGTAAAAGTAAATCAAATGAGAGAAAGATTTTCAGTCAATCATACTCTCCACCATGGCTGTAGTTGCTACCAGAGCCGTTGAAAGGAACAGTTACAAAACCCCCAAAAATGTTAGCTCACCACTTTATGATGGTTTTTTATTATTTGTTTGTGTGTTTCAAATAGGCTTCTTGGATTAAAGATAACAAGATTTGAACTATGAACCCCAGACTAACACAAAGCCAGCAGAGAACAATCTGCGCTCAGCTGAGAAGATTCAAACTAAAGCTGCTGTACAAGGCCAGCATCCACGGCTTCACCGGTGCAGCATTTCACCAAAGATGTGACAATTGCTCTCCCACTGTGTCTGTGGGCTACAACAACTCTGGTTTTGTGTTTGGAGGCTACACCAAACAACCTTTTAGTCAGTCTGGACAGTACGTGAATGATGATCAGGCTTTTCTTTTTACATTTAATGGTGAAAACCTCATCAAATATCCAGTTACTAATCCTACATATGCAGTGAGAATGACGGCTAACTCTGGGCCTTATTTTGGAGAAGATTTGGTTCTTGTCAATGGAAGCAAAGCAGTAACGTACAGCAATCCAGGAAATTATTACAACTTCCCTGCTGCAGAGATGCATGGCAATGATCTCAACATGACTGAGTGTGAAGTCTACGAAGTGGAGGGTAAGTTGTAAAAAAAAATCATGTTGTTTTTTTTAGATGTTGCAGTTGATAAATTTCTTATATAATAACAGAACTAGTAGTTCACTAAAACTGTACTACATTAATATTTTTGGATTTGGGCACCAATTTAAAATCACAAATAAACTTACTGGTTTCTTTAACAGGAACCACTGAACTTGAAAGGGCATGGAGGACTGTAATCTGGGAATCTGAGTAAGTTTAAGGAAGAAACCATCCTGCTTGATCTATTAACATTCCTCGGTTGTGCACAATATCCTTTCTACATTAAATGTAAAGTATACTATTGAATACTTAGCATGATATGGTATACTAAATATTTTAGATTTTGACAGAATCCATGCAAAATATGGAATATGTGTAACTGCAGCTGCTTCTGTCAAAGAAGTAATATTAGGAAAAATGATTTTACTACTACGACTTCTTCTAAAATGGGAAAAGTTCTTTATTTCCTTGTTTTGTACAGGAAGAGGACGGAGCTGATTGAGAGCATTAAAAGCTACAAACCCACAGTCAGCTCTGTGACCCAGCCTCGGGTTTTGCTCATTGGACCAGTTGGAGCTGGAAAGTCCAGCTTCTTTAACTCTGTCAGCTCTGTATTCAGAGGCCACGTCACCAACCAAGCTATAGCAGGCTCCTCCTCCACCAGCCTCACCACACAGGTCTGTGTCTGCCGTCTGATGATTTCCACTTATTGTGACTGATTTCAGTGGTCTGTCACTCATTCTCATTGTACTGTAAACAGTTTCGCACCTACTCTGTGAAAGATGGGCGTGAAGGGAAACCTCTGCCAATAATCTTGTGTGATACCATGGGACTGGAGGAGACCAAAGGGGCGGGGCTTGACATAGACGATCTGAGCAGCATCCTCAAAGGTCACCTGCCAGAACGTTATCAGGTGCTACATTATATCAGCGGGACACTGAATGTATGAAACACTGATTTGTCAGCAGTCGACTCAAACTGTGTCTCTGTTTCTCCTCAACTGTGTCATTTAGTTCAACCCTTCAGCTCCTCTGCATCCTGAGGCCCACGGCTATCGCACATCTCCTGGACTCAAGGACAAGATCCACTGTGTGGCCTATGTTATTGATGCTTCCAAGGTCTCCATCATGCCCACAGGGCTGGAGGAGAAGCTGGATGCTATCCGCAGAAAGGTCAACTTAATGGGTCAGTAGAGTTGAGTCAACAAGGTTCCTGATAGCGTTATTGCGGCTTCCCACTTCCCACTGTGACAAAGAGAAAGACACATCCACACTCACACTCTCTCTTACACAAACTCACAGACACACACACACACACACACAATGTTGATTTATTCACCTGTGTATTTTTGAAGTTTTGTGTTCCAGGTGCAGCATGTTTGTTTTCTTACAGGCGCGGCACTTGGCGATACATCGTGCATCCTTTTATCACACACCCCTCCCTTTTTTCCCTGTCTGTCCTGCTTTAGACATTGTCACACTGTATACGACATATTATGTAATAACTGAAATAACACAAATAGATATGAATAAATAAACAGATAAAATAAACGCCTGAACAAGAGGAGCATTTAGATAATTTAGAGATCTGATCTTGAAAAAGCAAAATGTGAAGCACAACACTGCATTCAGATCATTATTATGATTGCAAAAGCTGCCAGATAGGTCAGGATTTAAAGGAGAGAAAAAGCCAATGCTCCCCAAACAATACCTACCTAATTATCAGCCTGTTAAGATGAATGAATGCAAATCATTCAAAACCTGTATTTATCAATGCAAAGAAACATCTCAAATGTTGAAATTTGTCAAATTCTTTTTTTATTCAATAAACAAAAAATATAAAATTGCTAGCAGGCTAGTTTAGCAGCTGGACTTAAACCGTGTTTTTTGTGATTCATGCTGATGTGATTTGAAGGAAGCAGGTCCTCAAATCTCATCTGAATGTTACCATGTGTTTATCCAAAACCTACATAAACACCTGTGAAGATGCCCGTTCCATAACATCACACAATATCATGATCTCTGTATGACATAGATCATGATGTCAATGATTTCAGTAAAACTGGTCACACTACAGAACAATTTCCTCTTCAACACTATTCATCTTAATTTCATCATGATGCAATTCATTATAAAGCCAGGGACAGAGGTAGCAGCAATATTTTGGAACATGATCAGTTACAATAACTGGACAAAGAATATGTGGAAATTATTTAATGGAAAAACTTTTAAAGATCTTCATAAAGACTAGAGAACTATTGCTCAGAACCACTTAAAAAAGATAAATATGAAAAAATAGTGAGTGACTCAAGACTCTTGCACAGTGCTGTGATTATTCCAGATACATGATCTTCAGATACTGAAACCTCATTATAAAAACCTAAGGTATTTTACCAGTCATCTTTCTGGTTTGTTTCCAGGTATTCCTCAGCTGGTCCTCCTCACTAAAGTAGATGAAGCCTGCCCACTGGTGAAAGAGGATGTGAGAAATGTTTATAAGAGTGGCTACATTAAGGACGTTGTACGTGCTTTTTATTTTTTTTACTGCTATTGTGGTTAATAATAATAATAATAATAATAATAGTAGTAGTTTTCCTGTGTTGTGTCATACAGGTTCAGGAGGTCGGCTCTCGGCTCGGTGTGCCGTTGTCCTGTGTTGTTCCGGTGAAGAACTACAGCGAGGAGTTGGAGTTGGATATGAATTGTGACATCCTGTTGCTCAGCGCTGTTATTCAGATGTTTCGCTTTGTTGATGATTACTTTGATGAGCTCAGTGACCGAATGAGCAGCATGCAAACCACAGAGCGGAATGAAGTTAAGAAGCAGTTGTACCAACCCGAGTAGCTGATGAATTATGCCTGAAAATGGTTCGTTTACAGCAAAAAAAAAACAAAAAAACTTCGTTTATTCATCATCAGTGCAAACAGTTGAAGTTTCTAATGGCCCTGGGATTTGGTGTTGTTTCTGATTTATTGATTCTTCTTCATTATTGTGACTTTTGAGTTCCTTGTTATCATACTGGATTGTGAGTTTTGAGTGACATCACCACGTTTACAGTTTTATTCTGATCATCTTTGAGTTTTGCTTGCTCTCTGTATGACTGCCTTGATTACCTTTTTGTGTGTCTCATAATGAATGTGTCTTATTACCCTCCTGTCTTGGTCCACGCTCAGTCATTCAGTAAATCCAGGAAAGTTGATTCTGTTTCTGTTTGGATTGCTGCTTTATACCTTTTTGAATTTAGTCTATTTTGGAGTTTTGAATCAGCCACAACAAAGGCTCGGCTCTTTCTGAACATTCTGCCTCCATTGTCCTGTATTTGGGGCCTCATTTGCATAATCATAACAAAGCTTTAGTATTCTGTCATTTCAGACACTTTACCCTCACATCAAACTCTGTAGTAATGATACACTAATGAGTAATGGGTTTTTCCTTCAATTAATCATTTTTCAGTTGTTATCATGCCTACTATATTTATATTAGACTGGATGCCTTCATGTAAATGTGACAATTAAATGATTGGTAAAAGTAGAATTTTTAAAAGAAAACATAAAAAAATTCAGGATGTTGGCTTTATAAAATAATTACAGTTATGCATTTTGATAATTATACGTCTTTCATAAATTTGCAGCTCTACACCAACACAGTGGATTTTCAAGCAATTAAGATGTGATTGGAGTGCAGACTTTCAGCTTTATTTAAGCATTTTTCCACAAACTATTACATTAACAGCTTATGAATTAGAGCCGTTTTTATACACACAAAAATTCCCATTTTCAGAGGCACAAAATTAATTGGACTAGTCAGGATTATTTTAAACATGGGGATTGTTTTTAACACTTGGATGAAATCAGTCAATGACTGTCTGAAGACTAGAATCTTTTTATTTTTATTACCAAATGCTCATTCCTCTTTTGAGATATTCTACCAGCCCTTTACTGCTTGTCTGGGGGTCTCTCTCTGTATTCAGTTTTATATTTAATAATTGAAATGCTGACACTGTAAGAAAATTATACAGTGTCAGAGGAGAGGATTAATGTTAATATTACATAGATAAAATGACTATTTTGCTGCAATGGCAACATGTGAAGCAGGCAGTTATTATTATTATTATTTTCTTCACTCATTCAGACAGATGGCCAAATTCCCTCACTTGGTTCTTCCATCAGTTTTGCAGTCCTGGAAGTCAGTAAGCTCCACTCTGCCACCTGCTGGAAAAGGAATATTGCATTTTTTTTTCTACTTGCTTCAGCTGTGTTGCTTAGCTCTAGTGTGCATCCTACTATGGAAAGAGGGGGACTGGGATAATCATCTAGGCAATACCATTGATTGGGGAGGACAGGGTCTGGCATATGGAGCTGAAAGGAAAGGAGGCAGCGCTCTTTGAAGACCCTAAACTCTTGCTGGGCCAAGATGTTGTTCATCAAGACTTCCTGCTGACACTGGAGCTCCTGCAGAGCCAAAAAGGAGCAATATTCATGAATTAGGATGAGCATGAAGGAGAGGACAAAATCAAGCATAAACAAGTAACCCTTTTTCAATTACTGACTTTATTTGAACGTTAGAGCAGAGACAGAACATAGCTGTGTGGAAAACTAGTTGGAGCTGGTCCAATGAGTTCTTTAACTCTGTCAGCTGTGTATTCGGAGGTCACATCAACAATCAGGCCATTTTTGGTTCCACCACCCCAGCCTTACCACACAGGTTTGTGTCTGTTGTCTAATGATTTCCAGTCACTGTGATTCATTTCAGTGATCCACGTTTTGGGGTGTAGCCAATAATTTTGCTCTTACTTAGTGAAAGGTACGCATGAAGGGAAACCTCTGCCCATAATTCTTTTATACCATGGGACTAGAGGAGAGCAAAGAGGTGGGAATTGACATTGATGACCTCACCATCATTCCCAAAGGTCACCTGCCAGACTTTTATCAGGTAATGCATTTCATCAGCAAGACACTGAATATATGAATTCTGGGCTCCATACCTTACAGCCTCAACACCAGTCACACACTTAGTCAACAACAGACAAAAAGGACAAGATAGGCTTTCCTGAATCTGAGACGCTTCCCTGCCAGTGTTGGGAAAGTTACTTTGAAAAAGTAACTAGTTACTAGTTACTTCTTCAAAAAAAAGTACCTGAGTTAGTAACTGAGTTACAAGATTCAAAAAATAATTAATTACTTGAAAAGTAACTATTGCGTTGCTTTAAAAAAAAAAAAAAGTTTAACCCTCTGGGGTCCAGGGTATAATTGGCCATTTTAACTACTTTTGATGTTTCCTCCACATTTCACCTTTAAAAACTGTTTATTTGCCTTGTTTGGTATCATCTTTTTCAGCACAACCTCACATGTCTGAATTTACAGTTACATTTTGACATACTGTATTAACACAATTGATCTAAAATCAGACAAAAAAAACATAAAATCAGAGTAGAAAAAGTTATATTTTTTACTGTAACAACCACAAACATGTTTAATGAATCATATTTCATAACTTTAAATGCAAATATACATTTTCAATTTTAAAACCGTATGCACACGTTTTGGAAACAAAGTTATTTGCAGCCATTTACCTTTTACCTTGATTTTTCTTAAAATAACCATTTCAAACTATTTACATAACAATCAGGTGTTCTGCATTCAATAAAATCCAAAAACATAATTTCTGTCCACTATAAAGGAGAACATCACAGCCTGATACCTGCAGGTCTGACAGCAGGTGTATCACTCCTGTTTTATACCTGGAGACAGCAGCCACCTCATTGTTCTGACAGACAGCACAAAACTATCCACAACACTACACAAGACAAGACATTAACTACACACTCCAAACACGCTATAGGTCACAAATCTCTCACATCTCAAAACTCGCTCTCGCTCTCTCTCGCCGTCACTCCTGAAACTTCCTCCTCTTCCTAAACAACCAAATGTCATGTTGCCATATAATTTTTTGATTGGTCAACATGGTGCATTTTTCCATTTTTCAACACAATTTAAAAACTGGTATATATCACCTTGTAACTTTGTCATCTTGATGTGGTCGTGTGATTCACTTACCATGACTACTTTATTCTTACTCAGTCAAACAGCAGCACTCATACGCAGTGTTGGGTAAGTTACTTTAAATTAGTAACTTAGTTACATTACTAGTTACTTCTATCAAAAGTAACTCAGTTACTTCAAGTTACTCGTTACTTTCAAAGTAACTAGTTACTAGGGAAAGTAACTTTGGTTTTACTCAGAATTCTCTTGTTGACCGCCGCCATGATTCTAGCCTACATCACAGCGACATGTGTGCTTTTTACATCCAACACAAAAACTGCAGTCGTGGTGCTTTCGATTGTACTCAGAAGTCGGAAATTCTGCCTTCTGAATAGGAAGATGTAGGTAACACCAGACTGCAGATGAGCTGCATACAGAGCTGGACTGGGACAGAAAATTGTCCCGGGCATTTTGACTAGAGACCGGCCCACCATTATAGGAAAAATCATAAAGCCTTTGAATGAAAACAAACGCTGTTGTGACAGTGATGTACACTTTTTTGATGGTTTAAATGTATCAATCTATCAATCGTTTGTTGTAAGACTCTGGTAATTATTTTTTAAAAGCAAAACATTTTAAATGAGAATAAGAAAGAAAAGTATTTCTTTGTGCCCCCCTTTCCCTGTTAATGCCCTACCTGGCCCCCCAGCAACACTTTGCTAGACCCGCCCCTGCACAGTTACCAGCTGTCAGCTACATAGAAAAAGGATCCTGGTGTTATTTGTCTCTCAGAAACAGTTCATAACTTCCCTTCAACTCATTCCTGTCACCTAAAAGGTAAACCTGTTTCTCCATCACAGCTCTGATGATTCAGTAAGGACGTCTCCTGGTTTCATCTTCATGTTTCCCTCTCACCAGATAACCAAACTGATATCATGACCAGCAGCTTTTACAGCTGTGGCTCCAGCAAACATCAGCTGATACTAGAAATTAATATTAAATAAAATCTAACAACAGCTGATCAAGCTTAAACGTGCTGCTGTTGTTTAGCGCGACAAATCGCGTTCCTTTTCACCTCAATACGAAACGCACAATATTTTCTCTGAAAATGGGACATTCCGTTTTTTAGGGCACGGTTGGTAACTCTAATAATTAACCTTATGAACTATGAACAAAATAAAGTTCAACATCAGTAACATCATAGCACCCACCCAGCTGTATAGAAACTCCGTCATGCTAGCTAGTACGCAGTACGGAAAAAAGTCAGCACAACGAAAATAAACTCCACCTAAACTTGGTTCATATCTGACCCAGATAGACTGAAGGTCATAACTTATTACCTGAAGTTCAGTTCTCCTGACACTCGGACCAGCGGCCGTTTCGGGTCTCTCCTCTTGCCTCCCCTTTCCCTCATCCACCTGCTGGCCTCCACCACTTGCTAATGTTACTGAATCTGTGGAAGCTCCGCGATAGCCACCACACGAAGTAACGAATAACACCTGGGATTTAGATTGGTTTTGGCATAATAACTAGTTACCATGCTCGTTACCACAATAATAACGTAGTTACTGTAACACGTTACTTAATAACGCGTTAGTCCCAGCACTGCTCATACGATTGTTTTGCCCCCTTAGCAACACGTGTTGTGCCAAAAAGTGATCGTATGCCAGAAAGTGACTGCCGTCCGCGGGAGCGTACGCAGCTGCATAAAGCTGTAGCGCCCAGATTACTTGGAGCTACTTCTGTGCAACTGATATAAGATGCCGTAAGCTGAACACAGCTTCAACCGTCTGTTTGTTAAAAAAATAGTAACGGACTGCATTTTCTTGTTAGTAACGGTAACAGCGTTGTAACGATAGAAATAGTAATTAATTAGATTACTCGTTACTGAAAAACGTAACGCCGTTAGTAACGCTGTTACTTGTAACGCCATTATTCCCATCACTGTTCCCCACCCACCTAAACTACCTCATAACTGGGCAATAGCACTTCCCTCACCTGAATGTTCCACTGCCTAAAGCCTGTGTGCAATCTAGAATCCCCAAAGCACAGACTGGACATCCAGATGTTGACGAATACACAGGATAGCTTGCCCAAGGCAACACACACCAACCCTATGAACATACAATAATACAGATAATACAAAGAAAATAGGAGGTGTGCTCTCCCATCCTGACGTTCTGGGGTCTATCACTGAGGAAGTCCAATATCCAGTTGCACAGTGAGCTGCTGAGTCCTAAGTTGCTTAGTTTTTT